AGGTACCAATGAACTGCTTTTGCTGTCACCCTCCCTCTTTTTTTCATTCTTTTTTCCTAGATAAATTTCTATTTGGTTCAATGAGTTTTTCTCATATACTGAGATCTACCTTCAGTAATCTGTTACCTCTGGCTTAATTCAAACTTTTACTTTTTTTGCTTGTTTTATATCCAAAATTTTCTTACAATTTTAAAAGGAATGAATACAAAATTACTTCAGTTCAAATATTTTATTTTTTTATTTATTCCTTTCATTTCAAAGGGAAATTTCTCCCATTGTCTGCTTGCATTCACAATAGGAATGAATATTATTTATTTGTTCACTTTTATTGTCATTTAAAAGCTTTGAATTTGAATCTAAGACTTAACCTGGGGATCTATAATTTGTATGGTGTAAGAATTGGATTACAGGTCACAAAGTCTCTCATAACGGACTCTCTGTGTATGTACACAAAACTTTTTATGGTCATATGGCTGAGTTGTTAGAACATTTCCTTTCTGACTGTGAGGCCTATGTTTGAATCTCATCATAGTTGGTTTGTCAGGAAGGTGACTTATTGATATTTTGAGCCTGGGCAGTAGATCCCAGTATGTAGAACCTTTTGGATCATATATATATATATATATATATATATATATGGTGCAGCAAAAATACCTCCCACACGAAAAGGGCAATGGTGCCTTCATCTAGCTAAATGTCTTATTATGTGGGAGGTATTTCTGCTGCACACTGTGTGTATTATTTATTTCAGTCTTATCTAATTTCCTACTTTGTGAGTTTAACAAATGATAGCTGCCATCTGGCTTGGTTATTATTTTGCCAAAAGTAAAACTATAAATTATTACAATCAACTTAAGTAAATTTAATGTAACATTTTATTTTTTTTTAAATTTATTTCTTTAAATAAAAAAGTTAAAAACCTGAAAATTAATAAATGCTTTACTATTAATATCTGTTAATTAAGTTTTTCTCCAAAAGTAAATTGCAATATTAAACGGCTAAAAAAAAAAAAAAAAAAAAAATCTGATACAAAATGGCAGTTAAGATGACTGCCCATGTCTAAAACTGCTTTCTTCAAAGGGGATAAAAAGTTAAGTGTGAATTTAGCTTTGTCAGTTTCCTGCTTCTGAAATAATGCATTTAAACCAAACACTAATCTCATGATGATGATGATTTTTGCTTGCATTGTTTCTCTGCACATTGTAGCACAATATGTCTGTTATTCTGGGTCAGTAAACATTGTTGATTCTACAGAATATCCAAATTTGAATTTAGAACAAAATTTGTCACTAGAAAAAGATGGAGTTACCTTTTTTAAAAATATTCTTATTTATAGATTTGTTTAAATTTTTAATGTCAAGAAGATGTTGGCATTATACAAAGTTTTCTTTTTAAGCTATTTTCTTGTCTTGTGTTGATCACAACCTTTAAACTGCTATACTCTCTAATCTTTTCATTTGAATTTCTGGAGGTGTATTGTTACAATAATCGAGTTGAACCAGTTTCCTCGTCTTTGTGTTTATCACAACCTTTCAACTGCTATTTCACCCGCATCTGTTGCATTTGATAACCTTCTATAAATGTTAAATGAAACTTTATTTGATCAAAATAGATACACCATCTATGTAACTTGTCACGTCTACTGTTCTTCCAAGAAAATTTAAAAAATGGTAAAGTTAACATTTTTTTTTAAAGTTCTCTTCACTGAGTTTGTGCATCTTAATATTACTTGACCTAAGAATTGAACTCTTGACTTTTAGGGTGTTAGATGAAGTCATGACCTATATGTACAGAGTATTTCACAATTTTTGGTAAAAATAATGGTTGGGCACAAATCAAGGACCACAAATAATAGAGTAATAGAAATTACATTTATGGAAAGGTAAAAGGATAACATTTTAGGATCTGCAACCATTTAGTCTCGAACATGAACTAAAAATGTCAGGAGCAGCTTTAGAGTACATGCTGTTCAGTTGAAGACACTGTTGAATGCAAAGTTGTTGATAACATGTGCCCATTCCTTCTGGATGATCGCTTGAATTTTCTCAGTGATGATAGCCTTCAATGGTGTGAGGGTTGCCCTGGTAGATGTTGTCCTTCAGTAACCTCCAGAGGAAGAAATCTGGGAGGTTCAGATTGGGCTAGTGAGGTGCCCATTACACTTAAGCTTTGACACTGATGAGATGAGTTGCTCCCCAAACTTTTCACAGAGCTATGCCATGGCAACATTAGCAGTGTGAGGAGGAGTTGGAATCACTATTCCTCCTCATCGAGATTTTCATGCTCCTTGAGCTCTCCCCACTTGAGAGGTCGCTGCTTTGTTTCAACAATTGTGAAACACCCTGTAGATTAAATAAAAAGGTTCTATGCAAAATTCTTGGAAACTTACTGAATTCAAATGATATTTATAGATTTGTACAATACAAGGCTTGTATTTTTACTAACAAACAATAAGCAGTTATGTCCAACTAATAATTTAAATAACCTTTTTTGGAGTTTTTAATAAATAGAATGTTCTCAAATGTATTTAAAGTTTATGCATATCTTTGGCTGTGGTATTCCAAAATGAAAATTGACAAAAAGTAGTTCACGAATAATTAGTTTCTCTGTCTCTCTTGTTACCCTTACATAACTAATTTTTCTCTTCTCTGAAGGAAATTTTTTTTTTTTTTTTTTCATTCCTCCTCAAGGAATTGTCCTTTTTGAGTTGTCGGCTTTTCACGTGTTTTCAATTTTTGTCCTGGTGATGCTAAATTTCCCTTTGCTCCACGTGGGGAAGCTAATTGCGGCTGCAACCGATATGTTGTGAGCAGTGCATAAGGAATGCAAGTCTTTTATTAAAGCAATCAGAACACATTTCACTGGCTTCCATCCCCTCCCCACCAACACCTCTGCACCATCTTTGCGTTAAATCATTTAAAACTATGTAGCTCCTCCATTTTCGATTTTTGACTAATTAAAAGAGCATCGAGGAATCTCATTATTTCTACTTGTCTGCGGCAACTCATTTGGTCTGGAATCTTTATTGACTTGTATAATCAAACTCAGGTGGAAGTGTATACTTGGTGCAACTTTTCATATGTGGTTTGAATATTAATCAATATAAATTTGATATCCAATTTTCATAATATATTTTTGGGCTGGAAGTAGGAAATATCTTTCTAGCATTGAGAAATTTTTGGACTTTAGATTTAACAATATATTTTAGAGTTCCTATTCTGTTAAAGTACTTCTAGGAATCGTAACATTCCTTCTTGCACATTTTCGTTTATTTATTATTTTATGTAAACCTGATTCATCTTTTACAGCTGTTCAAAATAAAGAAGTAACTTTTTAGGCAAAGTAGAAATTCATATCCCCCACTTGAGAAGCCTGTCTTTCGTAGGTGATGTCTTAACCAATTAGGCAGGTTTATTTATATATATATATATATATATATATATATATATATATATATATATATATTATTATATAATTTTAATTTTTTTGTTTTAAATTTAAACTGCTATGGATGAAATTATGAAGAAATATGCCAATATTACAAGTATTATATGAACATAAATGAATAATTTTTTAAGGGTGTATAAATGATGAGTTAGTAAAAAATAAACATATCAACAATATAGAATTTTTTTTTCTTTTATTCTGTTCATATTGAATGGTTAAAATTGTTTAAGTCCAATAGATTTAGGACAAGATTATTGCTATTTCAATCTAGTCAGACAAGGGTCAAAAACCTCACACAAGTCATCCTTACTGTAGAATCGTTTCTCTATTTATTCAAGTGAAACCGTCAGGTTTCACTAACCTTATAACTGGACAAAACAAATAAAAAAAAAAAAAAAAACTTTGATCAAAATACACTGATATATTTTATCTTTCATTTTAGGTGTTTTTTTTTTTTTTTTTTTTTAGCGTGAATATAATCAGCAATAATAAAAAAAAATAATTGTTAAAAAAAAAAAATGCTTGTCAGTACTTGTTTGTTTTTTTTTGTTTTGTTTTTTTTTTTTTGTTTTTTTTTTTCAAGATAGTGACCGAAATAATTTTAACAGATAATTCCAGTAAAAAAACTTCAAAGCACTTCAAGAACAAACTTGTTTTCATTTTAAATCTATTCGGTAAGGAAGGATTGAAGAAGAAAAAAATCTGGTCTGTTTTTAATACAAAAAATAAAGAAGTAATTTTGGAAAACAAGCTTAATACAAATTAATAAACTGAACACGTTTTTTTTTTCTTTTTTCTTTCCCAAACGTTGATTCATGTCATCTTCAGAACGTTATAAATACAATGTCCAAACGACAATGTTATTTTTATTTAATTTTTTCATTTATTGAAGTCTTTACTTTTGATAGCTTTAGCATTTGTCAGTAAAAATGTTTTAGGAACTCTTTAAATTGGCTTCAGTATGTTGTTGAAACATTACATGTCCTCTCTTTCTCCTTAGCTGGCAAAACACTTGTTAAAAATTCATGGAACTAAGCATTTCTCCTAAATCTTGACGCATCCTCATCTTTTTTTTCTTCTTCTTGAATTAAGTGCATTCTTCCATTGGAGCAGAGAAGAGGTGTGTGTGTGTGTGCTGGCCATAAAATGTGTATATTTTTATCCATAAGAGCTCTAGAAAGAGGAGAGGTTAAGGAAAAATAAATAGAAACCCTGCCTCCTTTTTTGATTCGTGTATGTATGTATGTATGTGGGGGGGTGAAGAGGATTTATTTCATTTATAAAGTTCTGTTGAATTTATTAGTATTTGCTTAATAATAATAAGCACTTTTAGTTTTAACTATCACTTCCAATTTCTTTTTATTTCTTTATAACTCTCTCTCTCTCTCTCGAATCGTTCCGAAGATTTCTTCCCCCTTCCACCTCTCCCTCACTTCATAACTAAGTGTATCATCCTATTTACGACGTGGATGCCGTCAGCATTTAGCTGTTGCCTTCATTGGCTTTCACTATTATTATTGTTGTTCCTGATATGATCGCCATTGCTGTTTTAGCCCTGCTTTGGTGGCCTGACCCTCCTCCCCACTTTTCCTTTCCTTTGGCTTTTCTTTTTTGTTCATCTACTGCTACCACACTCTACATTTCCACCCGGGTACGCGCCAACACTCCCACCTTCTTGTTGTTTATGGACCCACGCAGCCAGTGGCAGAGAGTGAAAGAGATGACATATATTGTTTGCCGTGCGTGTGTGGATGCTCCCCTCCCTTGGCTTTTGTCTATGTCGATTTATGCTCAGCACCTAAAGTGGCCCGGACACATGGATTTTCCTCCATTATTATTAATTATTCGCCGCCCGCTCGTCATTCTGCTGAGCCTCTCCTCCACTTGTCTTTATACCCGTGCCCCGACATCTATTTTTCTGCTCTGCTAACAGCAGCTACACTTATTTTTTTTTTTTTTATATGCGAACATTCTGTTTTGTTATTATTCTTCCCGTTGTTATTACTCAGTAATAATTACTGTAATCATTTCGAGATTACTTCAACCTCTTATCCTCGTATCAACCATAAGAGATGGATATAATTTATCTAGTTAAGGCTTTAATAAAATGCACCCAAAACCATGAACCCTGATTGCTGACTACTCCTCTTTGGTCGGTCGTTCGTTCGTCCTCACCCCCTCTACCTTCGTCATTTCATGCTATTTGCTTTAAAACGGAAACGAAGGCGGTTTTTTAAATATCAACCAGAAAGAGAGAGAAAGAAAGAAAGAAAGATAGGCAGGCTGACTGACTGACGACATTGCAACTCTATCCGAGGTCCCCTTTCTTTCTTTACAAGATGATCGGCGCTCGTCCCTCTCTTTGTGAGCAATACAGTCGGTCTGGCTTTTATTCTTCGTAGGAAAAATTTACGCTGATCATAATGTTCTTACACCCACTGTCCACGCACCTGGCTGTATTCCTCCCCCTCCCCATACGTCTGGCAGTGTGAAATTAGAAAACATGCCGTATATTTTTAAAATTAGTAATACTAATATCTAATTAATAAATAATTTATCATTTTTTTTTACCTTTTCCATTGTTTATGCATGATGTGCACTTTTAGAGGAAAAATCCCGATGATTTCCCAGACTTCTGGCTTTTTTAAGACTTATTAGACATTATCAAGAAAAACTACGCAATCGTCCATAGAACTGTTCACCTGGGTATTATTATTATTTAGTTAACCGATTCCGTCACCCACCACCAGCCGCCACTGTCGTTTCTTTTACCCCCCCTCCAACAACAACAGCGGCAGCATTGTACTGTTCTCTCTCTACCTTTAGCCCTACCATCCATCTCTAGTCTAGTGTAACCTCATACGTCGTCTTCGTCAGACCGTCTCCCCATTATTCCCTCTCCCTTTAATTAATCAGCCCTTGTGTCGTGTGCCGCTTTTCTTATTAAATATATCTATATTCTCTCTCACCGTCAGCTAATCAACACACGTGTCTCTATTGACATAAACATTTCTCTTCTATAGACAATGACTTACATGAAGGAGAAATCATTATTATTATTTTTTTATATAGTTGTATTTTATTTTATGTCGGTGGGGGAGAAAAAAAATCCTAGTCTCGGTCAAACATCGGAATCATATCGCTATCCCCTCCCCACTTTCATCCCCCGCCGCTCCGTGCATGTGTGTGTGTAAGTGTAATGGAGGAGGAAGCTATTGGCGACTGCTGCTTTCTTGATGGTTGTTCTACTGCCTCTATTGGAATGCTTGTTCCCCCAACCATCAAGCCATCCAACCTTTTAACTCACCCCCAACCCATCAACGCTCAACGTCCTGACTGGCTAACATCGAACCTCTCTTTCACCATTTAATTTTTTTCAAGTCATCGTTATGTATTTTTGATTTCCGATTTATTTCAATTTCATTCTCCAACTAAAGACAGAAAGAAAAACGTAATTTCGTTATTCCTTTCCCCAAAACGAAGGAAGAGGAGGAGGAGGAGCCACTCTTGTGGTTAACTGACAGTGTAGTAGTCGTAGTAGTAGAATATTGGTTGGTTAATATGTTGTATAGTGTTCTTAGTTGCCACTGACTGTCTGTCTGTCATGTAAGGCCTTCACTGTGTCTTCCTTTTCTCTCTTTAGTTTTAACTTTGTTGCTCTCTTTCTCTCTCGACCGGCCTCCACACTTTCCAGGTCTTCTACTGCCGCCTTTTTTTCCCCTCTCTCTCTCGAGCCACTTGCCTGCTAACTTCACCATCTCTCATCGCTATCAACACTCGACAACGACTACGACCCACAATATCTCCCCCCTATATACCACTCCCTCACATTGTCCTCTTTAAATTGCCTTTGTTGGATTTGCCTTTCCTTCATCCCTATCACCTCGTTACTTTTTCTTTACAAAATGCAATTCAAATATTGTCTTTTTTGGTTTATTGGCGATTAAATTCAGTTTCAGAACGAAATTCCACCACTGAATTAATAGAATTTGTGACTAAAACAGTAAAACTGGACAAAAGTTTTTTCTTTTTTTCTCTATCTCCCCTCCACCAATCTTTTTTTTTTTAAGATTCAATCACTTAAACTAATATTCTTTATTCCTTTGTTTGCTTTATTTTTTTTTAAAAATACCATTTATTCAATCTACTAACTAGTATAGTAGATTTTATTTTTTTTAACTATCAATACATGGACAGTCTCGAGGTGCTTAGTTTTCTGATTGTAAAAAGTTTTAAAGAAAAAAAAGAAGCAATTTTGTACTTTAAAAAAAAAATTTTCATGCAACAAGCATTAATAAATTTTTAAATTATTTTCAAGGTTTGTATATTCACTTTTTGATCAATCTTTCTTGAGATATGAATCACAAAACTGTTTCCAAATGTTGTAGTAAAAGAAACATCGAAAAAAATATTTAGAGTACAAGTTCGCTATGTTTGCCACGATATGTCGATAGAGAATTTTATTTTTAACTGATGTTTATTCATAAAAGCCAATGAAAATGTGACCTTGTAACTACAAATAGCAATAAGAAAATAAAATACTTGATAATATCAAGTATTTTATTTTCTTGCTGTTTAAAACAATATCAAGTTGATATTGTTTTAAAGACTTTTAAATGGATTTCAACACAAGACTTCACTTCATTCTATGTCCCACTCCCTAGATGAAACTTTGGGCTAGTTTATTTTCACAAGTTATTATAAAATAGGTATATGCATGAGATCGATAAAAAAATAGCATACCTTGAATAAAAAAGGCCTTAAATTTGATTAAAATAATTTTTTATCGTATAAATGTTAATGAATGTTATTATCAAGAGGAATGATCAAAGTATTTTTTGAATATTTTTAAAATTTTTAATAATTTCTAGCACGTCCAAAATTTTCGTTAAAAATCTTCAATTTTTTTGAATCGGAAAAATCGACAGACGATCGATAATCTTTTGATGTTTGTTTACAAAAGTGAATGTTGCCGTTTAAAATTTATTTAAAAATCAATTATGATTTTTTTTTTAACTAATTTTAAAAAAATTAGAAATTAGAAAGTTTATTTAGTATATTTTGAAACAAAGACTGCTTATTTTCTGTGATGAAAACATGTTTTTTTCAAATGGGAGAAAGCCGATCTGAACTGCGGTGTTGATTGACAAATGACAAGTGCGTGTTTTTAATCACGCACTGACATATTACGTGCGGAAATTTATAGTACGGAAGGTCGTAAGTGACAATTTATCTTTACGTTAACAACTTATTTACCTCGTTATTTTTAAGTAGTCATACCATGAAAAAAACGGCCTTAAACTTGACGAAATCAGAATTTTATTACCAAAATGTTTATGTTACTATTAAGGGGAGAGAACAAAGTAATTTTTCAGTATTTTTAAATAATTTTCTGTCTTTATGAGAACGTTTTAACTGATTTTGATTGAAAAATCTCGTTTCTCGTCATCACCGGAACTTTAGTAAATAACATGGCAAATTTTTTGTTCATTTTTTTCTTATGACACATTAATTTTGAAAATCTTGCAAAAATAGAAATAATTGTCAGATTTTAAAGAAACTTTCAGGAATGATGGAAATTATTATAATTTTTTAAAAGTAATTTTATATAAATATAAAGGCCGTTAACAGTGCCGTACAAATCAAGTCACGTGATGTTTTTATTGGATCATGTTTCTTCCGGCCTCCGTACATTTGATTTAAGATTTTTTTTCTACACATAGGTTAAAGGACAGTAAGATTATTCTCATTGCTTTTTCGTTGATTGTAAAAACCTTGTACTATTTATAATCTGTACAGATATAGGTACCTAAAAATAGCATTATATACAGGATTCGTCAGTACCGCTAATTTTAGAATATTTAACAACTTTTAGTAACTTTATGTAAAAATAATAAAATAATTTATTAAATAACAATTAATTCATTTAAAAATTCATTTTTCATCGAAAAAGTTTTTTGCCTTCAGACAATATTATGCATATTGATAAAAACAAATAAAAGCAACTAAAAGCATTTAAAATTAAATAGTATTTTTGTTTTATTGGGTTTTGTATGTTACAATTCATTGCTGATTTTCGCGTTTACGTGTTCGGATTTTTTAAAAAAAGAAAACCTGATTTACTTTCCTCAAAGCCTTGTGTTTTTATTAATATAATGACTTCCCTGATTCGTCCATAAACTTTTACAGTTTTCTTTAATTCATTTATGGGGGTGGTAATATATGTATAAAAAATATATTTTTATAATGACTTTAAAAAAAAACATATTTATAATAATTTCCATCATTTCTGAATAGTTTCTGAAAGTTTCATTAAAATCTGACAATTATTTCTATTTTTTCAAGATTTTCAAAATTAATGTGTGTCATAAGAAAAAAAAAATGCACAAAAAATTCGCCATGTTATTTACTAGAGTTCCGGTGATGACGAGAAACAAGGTTTTTCAATCGAAAGTTAGAATGTTGTAATAAAGACAGAAAATTTTGAAAAATAATTAAAAATTACTTTGTTCTTTACTCTTACTCGTAACATAGACATTTTGGCGATAAAATTTTGTTTTTCGTCAAGTTTGACGTCTTTTCATCAGACTATACGCTTTTTTTAGCGATCTCGTGCGTATACCTATTATAAAATCTTTCTTAGTGAATACATTGGGGGGGGACCCCAAATTTAGCTTACAGTGCAATCTGAGTGATGAAGACATTTTCTCACAGAAATAAAACTAAAAATTAGCAGTCATTTGGAAATAAATAAAATAAAAAAAAAAAAATGTCAGGCCTACAGCCATATTACGTTGAAACATTGGTTCTCTGATCGCTGAAGTTAAGCAACATCAAATCTGGTCAGTACCTAGATGAGTAACCGTTTTGGAATACCAGGTGCTGTGGGTGGTGTATAGCTTGGAATTGTTAATTGGATAGCCGAGTTCCAATTCCGGTTGGGTTCGTTATATTCACTTACACCCAAATACCCCTGGGAAAAGTATGGATCTACCTCTTCTCCCCACAGCTATAAGGTAATGAGTAAAACTTGTATAAGTAAAGCATTATCTAAAAAAAAAAATTCTTCCAATCTAAAAATATTTTCTGTCTTTAAATAACCTGCAAAGAGTTGATAAAACTGTAGAAAATGAATCAATCAATCGTCAATTTTATGTCAGAATTCATGAATTGGCATTGTAATTTTTTCTTTCTCTGATTAGGATCAGTTCAATTTTTAAAGTTGGTTTCCTTTCATCTTTATAAATTTATTCAAATACAGTATCTGATTAAAAATAAAATGAATGAAGTATTGAACGTAAAATTCTTAACCTGTTCCAGTTACAAAAAAGGAAACTGACTTGCATCTTTTTACTTCAGTTAAACTTTAATTATATCACTGACAGACAATAACTTGTACAGATTTTAAAGAAATAACAATTCTGCTATTATTTTCCTATTGTTGTCATACAGGGTTTTTTTTTTTTTTTTTTTTTTTTTTTTAATCAATTTGCCCCAAAACAAGGCTGTAATGCCACTAACACACCAGTGGCTACTGGAAGTGAAAGAGAATGAAAAGATTTTACAAGGAACCAGAAAACTAATCCTAAATAGGGAACAAGGAATGAACCTCTACTCTTGTTCAAAAAAACTGAGAGGAGTGTGAACTGGATGATAGGTTTACCTATCTACTGCAAAGCAAAAAAAAAAAAAAAATAGCACATAAAATTTCAGAGCTCAGACAGAGACGTTAGAAGTATAAAGTTGAAGCAGTTTTTAGAGAAGACTAGAGAGAAATGTGAACTGGGCAACAGGATTTTTTGATAGCTACAAAGTAATAAATGAAATTTGACAGTTATTAATAAAGAAATACTTTTCAAGTTTTTGATCTGGACTTTTAGAAAAAATTAATTTAATCTGGATTCTTAGTTTTTGTTTTTTTTTATTTTGGGATTTATTTTCCAATGAAGCAATGTTTCTGTTTAGCAAATTTATTTGACCTGTTGTTGTCATGTCTCTCTATCTTAGGAATTTTTTTCTTTTTTTTTCCAAGATTATTTTTAACAAAACACCAACAGGACAGAAAATGTAAACAAATGTCCATAGGACAAGTGGATTAAAGCATTAGTTTGGGAATTTGGTGAAAGTAATTGTGAGAGTTTGATTCCAGCAAAGAGAATGAGCAATAATTGAGCAATACTAAATAAAACTAGGTGATATATCCTTAGATGTAGGCAGTTGAACTAGAAAAATCTACCCCTCCCCACATCTTCCAGAGTAAATAAAGGATTCAATTTGAAATTCCCTGTAGGTTACCCACATTGACAAGCTGAGGGTCAGAAGGTACAACAGCTGAAACAGTTTGATAACAATCAAATGAGGGAGAATATGAGTCCAAATGGAAATAATATGAATGATAATCCTCGTCAGAGAAATTCGGACAGAAGAAGAGGAAAAAAAAAAAAAAGATTGTTTTGTTATAAGTACAAATGCATTAATATTGTTCAGCAAATGATCTAAGTGTTGTTTAATTTCATTTTGATGTTTTTACTCTAATTATAAACTGGCCATGACTTCATTACTCAAGAATAAGGAATCTTCTCTGAATTTATTCCTTAAGTCTCTGTTCTCTTAGTACAATTCTTAAAGTAGCATCACATAAATCTATGGGTAATAATCTGGTTTTGAAATACTGAGTATTTCTGATATGCTTTTTATTGGGCTTGAGGCTGCAAATAGTTTAGCATATTTATAATTAAAATATCTTAGGCTCTTGTTGGGATCTTTTCTGTTAATTCACCTCAAAATAAGAATTTATATTTACTAAAATTCACACCAAATTCTCCCAGAATAAGGCCCTTCCA